TTTTCATAAATATTAAGTCTATTAAGTTTTGCGCGCCGCCCCTGAGAAACCCAAAAAACTAACTGCCTTAGGCCCGAACTTTTGGGGCAATCCTCGGGCCCGAATTAAGTTTTTTTTGTTTTTATTTTTATTTTTTATTTTTATTTTTATATGTAAATAGAGAAAACTGTTTTACAGTACGGACTGCATACAGTCCGCCCTGTAAAACAGTTTTCTGATATAAATATTAGGGCTCAATCCAAGTTCAAAGGCTAACATCAGAAACCCTCCTGCTTTTCCTCTACGTTTCGACGCATACTTCCGACGGACACCATGAAAGTTGCTTACTGAATATAGGTTACTTCAATTCTTCACCTGTTTTTAGCTCCGCTGCTTAAGTCCTCTGACCGGAAAGTCTCGGGCGGCCTACGACGGAAAGCCCGCAGCATATTTCTGCAAAACGGAAACCAAACCGGTATTTGTTTCCCATGTTAAAAAACACAATTCTGTTGTTATTGAGTATGTAATTATCTTACAGGACAAGAACTTCAATCTTTTATTTATTCGAAATATTTGAACTTGTTCATGCTGTTGAATCTTTCATCTTTTTCTGTGTCTTAGATTAAATTATAGTTCAATTCTACTTCTGGTTTGATTACTTGAGCACATCTTGAATCTATAAATGTTTATTTCTAAAACCAGATTGAGAATTGAATGTGTTTGAATACATAAAATATCATTTTATGATTGGTATTATGGGATGGAAGTAAAAAGTTTGGTTTTTGATTTTTGCTATATTTTAAGAGAATGCAGACCATGGCTGAGGTGGCTAATCTTCCAATAGCAGAGAAGGATCCCAGGAAGAGGAAGTTAGGTAAAAAGAAGAGTGGCAAGAATAACAAGAAATTGAAGATGTTACAGGGTAATGGAGAGAAGTTTAAAGTAAATAAGAAAATGCAAAAGTTGTTTCGCAAGAGGGCACATGAATACAATTCAGATGAGGATGAGGATGAGGATGATGAGGAGTTGGTTCCTGTGACCAGAGGTGAAAATGCTGAGGATATGGAGATGGGAAGCGGTGGTTCTTCTGATGAAGGGGAGGACAGGGAGGATTTGGAGATAGACAATGACAATTCTGATGGGGAAGAAGATGATGAGATTCAACCTGGGATTATGAAGTTTACAGAAGGTTGTAGAGCATTTAGGATGGCATTCAAGAACATTGTAAAGAGGAATGTTTCTAATGATTCACTGGTAATCTAGTTGTTACAGTAAGGTTTGGTTTTTTTTTTTTTTTTTTTTTTTTGGGTTTGTCAAATAGATAGACATGTCTAATGTTTGTTACTGTTCTAGAGTCCGGTGTTATCAGGCCACAAGCAACTCATCGCAAAGAAGCTTGCTGAAGAGGAAACTGTAAGGAAGGTCAAGGGAGAGGCTAAGAAGGAAAAACACATGGTATGGCCAATATACATATAAAATTAAATGCAATTATATACATGTATCTAATGTGTTTACTCCCTTTGTGCCTTCTATACCTGTTGCTATCACTTCTGGTACAAATGAGTTTATATTACTTATTTTATAGCTTTATTACTATAGGTTGCAGAGAAAGGACATGTCAAGCCTCTTAATTACTTGGACTTACATGAAAAGTTCCTGATAAGTGTTGCTACAAAAGGAGGTAACAAAATTTCTGTTTCCCACTTGATAATTATGTTATTAGGGCCTTTTTGCTTAGCACAATATGCCCTTTCTCGTACTGAAATTCATTTTTTGTTTTCCATGTTTTCTTGGAGTTTCAGTGGTGAAGTTATTTAATGCTGTAAGTCACCTTGTGAAAACTAAGCTTCTTTTTTCCTTTCAATACTGATAACTATATCCTTTAAGATTGTTGGTAACAAATTATAGACATGAACTTCTCAATTCTTATGTTTATTTTATTATACAGGTTAACAAAGCTCAAAATGCTCAGAAAGGATTGAACCCTTCAAGGTCAAAAGATGCTAAAGGTATTGTGATATTCTAAGTAGCCAGCTGAGAACCCTTATTTTCATGGTTTCATTTTTTCCAAGTCACACTTAAATCAGGATTTTAAAGTTGAATTGTATATAACTGATGCCAGAATTATGTGTATCATTACCTCTAAATAATTCCTGTTACTACTGCTAAGATCAATCTCTTAGAAATATTGGGATGTATCGTGAATCCACTGGCATCATCAACGTACATAAACAGTGCTAAGGCTCACTTTTTATGCAGAAGTATGACATTTCTTCTTGTTCTTTCACTTGCATTCTGAACTGTGTCCTTACTAACTTTTTCCATTGAGATTATTTTTGCTGATTTTCAGTATTATTTAAATCCCCTGGCTGCATGGAAACTCTTGTTTGAATCCCAGATATTGGCTCTATTCCTGATACTCTACCTCTTGAATAACTTTAAATGCTTAAATTTTCTATTTCCATGTCCCTAGTAAGCTTCTACCTTATGTCCAAAGCTTTTATATGTCACTTATTGAAAGCAATTTTGCTGTAACTGTGCCAAATCTTATTTGTTTTGAGACATAGTTTGAGACTTAATGTGATATACCTTATGATTGTTTTTGCATATGGAGATGCATTGCATTCAGATTAGGACAAAAATTTGAGCGTGCTTATCCTTTCCAAGAGAATATGAATGCTTGTAGGGCTTATATTTTGCATCTTGTAGAACATTTTAGAACCTTAAATAGATTTTTGGCATAGTTATTTTTGTTGTGCAATGTTTATGCTGATAACTGTTAAGGTGATCAATCTTGGTACAAATTTTGACAATTATTTTTAGCTTCATTATTTTGTTTTTTCTGAATTTCTATTGTCTGAATCCTAACAGTAATAAAGAAGCAAAGGAAAGAAGCCTTCTTTTCAGAGTTGGGCAAGACATCTTTGCAAGCACCAGATGCTGCCAACAAGGTAGTTCCTGTTCTTACTTCTTACTCTAATCACTATTTGTCTTTTTAAGTTTCTTTTCATTGCCTCATTGGTATATTCTCCTAGTATGTCTTGAGAAGATAAATGCTGTATTACTTATGATATACATCTTCTTGTCAGTCTTAGATATGAAATCAGGCTTATTAACGGCATGAACCACAGCTCAGGCCTTGGGGCAATATTTTTGGGTGATTCTATGGAGTATTTTAAATTTTAAAAATCTTGATTCTATGGCATGCAGGGTACATCTTCTGCCCCTGTCAATGAAGGACCTGCTTGGGCCCCATTACGTGATAACTTCATGCTTACAAACCCTAAGTTGAAGGACTGGGATAAAATGCCTGTAAGTCATGGTTTAAAAAACTATACATTACTTCTATTAAACTGCAGATGCATTTAAACCAATTGCATACAGTTAGTATCTATTTATCGTTAATAAATCTTGTCTGCAATTCGCAAACAGGATGCTGCTGTCACAGATGACATTGGACGGATGTCTGAAGATAGTGGTTCAGAGGATGACTGATGTGATCCAAAACTTAAAAAGGAGCTTAAATATTTTCTGCTGTTAATCATGCAAGTTTTGTCACAAATGGTGATGTCATGCCAGGAGGAAATTTTGCACACTATATTTTCCTATTGCTACGTTATGTACTGTTTTATTGATTATCATAAATTAAATTTTCAACTTGCAAAATGATTTTCTTGTTTACTTAGCGCCCACTTCCCAAATTTTGGTTCTATGGTCGTCGCAAATGTATGCAGAACCTCCAAATCCACTTCTCAAAGGGATAGATTCATATTTAAAAAAATGTAGGGACAGATTATTTTTTCAAATTATAAATCGAGATAAATCATTTATTTTTTAACATGTGATGTCATGTTTTGGTTAAAAAATACTTATGTGGCAAACAGAATTTTGACGTTACATGTTAAAAAATGAATGATTTATCTTGATTTATAATATAAATGGATAACTTACCTTTACATTTTTTTGAGGGCGGATCTGTCCCTACCTGCTATTTGAGTGGTGGATTTGAGAGTTTTACTGCAAATGTATGGATTGGGGATGAGTTTTGGTTGGTTCACTGCGAATAGGAACTTGACGCATTGGGTCAAACAAGTTTTGAAGTTGGAAATACCTCACCATAGTTTTATGTGAAATTGTAATAGCTGTATTCGACATTATAATTATATTATTGCCGAAACAGTTATTTTTGTTTTTTTGAGATGAAATGTTTTATATGCAAAGGCAGAATTTTGACGAACTGAATCAGATTCAGACAATCCTCAGCAAACCTAAGCTTCCATTCTTCCACGCAATTGTGCATTTGAATCCTTCTGAGACTGACACTTCAATACACAGCAAATGCTGATTTTGCAATTAACATTGCTAAAAAATGCTACATTCATTCGAAGGCCGAAGAGAGGACATAGAAGTTAACATATATAAGTTCAATTACTAATGCAAATTCTTTCAGTATTATTCAAAAAAAAAAAAAAAACACTGATGCAAATTCAACCCATAGTCCTACAATTTTTATGCTGTACATGTTCATCATAAGGAAAGAAATGACTGCCTGCAAGCTCCATGCTTTGTCTACTTCTCAGCTGTTATTCGGACAGGCAAGACCTCTTCCCAACTGCACATATAGAAGATCCTATGCTATACATGTCTCATTTCTGAGAAAGGGCAAAAAAGACAGCACTCATTTTGCCAGCAACCTGGCAGCATTTAGATTCCTAACATGCCATGGCAGCTGCTTTTATAAAAGTGTGGAGTATAAGAATAAGATAGAAGGTAATGTTGACATAATGAACACAGCCCAATTATTGGTGCAGGATTGGTGAAAATCCGAACAAGTGAACTTGCCAGATATATGGCAGGAAATAGTAAACCCTACACAGGCAATGGCAATTTCACGATCATGCAAAGGACATCCTGATGGATCTCTTTCATGGTAGAGACCAGGCCTCTGAAATTTATTCTTGGGGCATTCTTTTTCCCTCCACATGCCCTGTGATGCAATCATGCAGCTTGTCATTTTGCAGAAAAGAATGCATCAGCTTCCTAAAGTAAACAAGTGTTTTCAACTACCATCTTGTGTTTCTTTCCTTTTCCCAAGAATAGTTTATAAATAATGTACTCTCAGAAGCTTCTGGTTTTGCTCAATGGATCGTAATCATAAGCATCACCAGCTTTCACAAAGCGCCCCTTCACACGCTTCCTAACATCTGCCCTTGCTTTGCGAGAGGCATACCTTACTCTCTTCTCAAACCTGTCATGCATATAAAAAAGGGTCTTAAATTCCACAGTATAGACCTTACGTATCAATATTCACTCTCAGAATTGATTAGATATAAATGCACATGCCACACCAGTCAACAATGCATCACATTTCCCTCAAATAGCTAGACAGAACTACCTAGAAAACAAATTCTGCAAGTGTCAGACTTATATATAACAATAGGTCTATGGTACAAATCTTAAAAGACAGAGACACTATACCTTAAATTCTACAAACTCAAATTTTGAGGCTAAATAAAGAACTTTACCAAACCAAGAAGTAGTGTCAAGCAAATAGAAGAATGAGATTTTGTACTTAACTTAGGTAAAAGCATATGCTATATTCATTTATCTTAGAAATTCAGAAAGTTGTGATATAATAAGCAGTAAAGCCTTAAAATCCACAATGACAACAACTTAGTAAACGAGCAAGCGTGGCACAAATATCAACAGAGTACTTTACTCACTTCCGTGTCTTCTTCTTTTCCTTGTAACGTAAAACAGCATTACTTCGGGTCACTGAAGCAGCAGAAGTACTCTCAGGGCATGGCGGACACCAAGGAGGCTCTCCCATGAGAAGCATTGATGAAGCCCCACAATCTTGATAATCTCCACCACTACTTTCACCAGTAAGGCCAGAAAATGAGAGGGTTGAATGAGCTGGCTTTGTTGTAAAGCAAAGGATTGAATCGGTTTTAGCGCTCATCATGGAATCTGCAGATGCTGCATTGCTGCATGCAGGTTGGGTAGCAGTCACCAGTCCAGCCGATCCCTGAATAAGAAAAAAGAGATCCAACCACAAATAAAAAAGACGAGTCTAAATCAAAAAACTCTCAACTGCTAATAATTGTGAGCATGCAAAAGTTGAGGATAACTATGAGGCTCAAGGACAGTGGGTGCAGATACAGCTTCTTGTAAATGCAAAATGTTAACTGCACCTGGACTTGAGCCTAATTTGTAAAGCTGCATTTCCATCCTTGAGAGATGGGTAAAAAACACCGCCCCCCTTCCCCGATTGTAAACATATCCAAAAAAGATGCAACATGTTGGTTAGCATAATCATGGATACAATTACTTATAGGGAAAAAGCAAAGACAATGCTAGGAAACTGGAGTGCATGCCCAGTACATAGGCAAACTCTTGCATTGCCAAAAAGGGTGTAGATTCATGATTAGAAAAAGAGTCATCAATATTCTAAATGAAGACCCTCTACAGCGAAGGACAGGAAACTTCATCTTTTTTGGTAGGCCTAATGCAGACCAAAATTAAACCCAAACTCCAATAAAATAAACACACTACTTCCATTTGATTCATTAAAGTTATTTAATCAAAAATTGACAATCTATACTGAACCCATTCAATCATCCAATCGGAAAAGATCAGCTGCTTGCTAACATTAACCAAGAATAAAATAAATAAAGAAAATTTAAATAGTAATATTACAAAAATTATATAAAACACATATGCAAGTATATATATATATATACAGCATCTATTTGTGTACAATGAAAGGGAAAATGAATTGCAATTTGCATTGCATTTTAACATTTTTTGGATTTTGATGGTAAGTAACATTACAGTTCCATAGGTAATTGAGTTTAACTTTAGCACCCCTTACTCTATTGTTTAATTGTTCCAGTTTAGATGCACAATTTAATGAAAAGTTGATCCTTTCCTATAGGTATTCAGCCTTTTTGATATATTGCTCATTTGACAAACAAGGTTATTACTCCTAGAAGAATTTAGGCCCAACCTATCTCATTTTTGCCTTTCAAAGTTTAACTGGACACTTTTCAAATTCATAGTGTACAACAAATAAACAATTAAACAAATAACAAATTATTACCAAGCCAAAAGAAATTAATTAAACCTAAAACAAGATGCTGCTACTTTGATTTCCTGATTGTCATCAACAATAAAACCGATGTGCTTCCTTTTTCATTTTTCTTTAACAAAAAATCAGTCTACTTGCTAACATAAATATCGAGAATCCATTAACATCTTAGATATGTGGATGCACCAAAAGGACCACTTATGAAAAAAAAAATAGTGGCAGAAGAAGAATCAGAAGAAGAAAAGGATGAGATGAAAACCTCAGCAGCAACAGCACCCTGACCATTTGAATCTGCAGCAGACATGTCCTTTGCCCTGAATAGGCTATCTATTCCACCATTCTCAAAGAGCTCTTGTGAGTGATTGAGGGTTACCCCAAAAAGTTCTTCATAGTTGTCAAAGCTCAAATCCATTTCATCCATGTTGAAGTCATCATAGAGATCATCTTCACAAACCCCAGGACCCTTTGCCCCAGGACAGTATAACTGCATAAGAATAAAGAGATGAATTTCAATGGCCTTCATTATTAATACAAGTCCATGGTTTTCAATTTGGTAATTTCAATCAATAAACAAGCATGCCACTATAAAACATTTTTCTTAGTACTAAACTTATGTCCAAAAGGCTTATGACAATAGAGTTCAAATGAGAATGTCATACATCACCAAAGATGCAAAGCTCTTAACTGAAGTTCTGGAAGTCATTCACTAATTGGAAGGAGGTGAGAAAGGGAGATTTTCAAATATATGAACCAACAATGAGAGTAAATGAACCCTTGATGTGAATCACACACAAACCCTCACCACAAAATGTTATAAAGAACCATGTTACAAAACATTTTCACGGTGATACTCTTAAAGGCCTAACTTAATAGTCCATTAACAGTTAACACCGAAAATATGTTTCTTTTGGGTTAGAAAAGAAACTTATTGCTTTATAAATTGAAGATTTGAACTTATTTCTCACTATTGACCAGGAGTATCATCGTCTAACCCTTCCTATTAAGCTATTCGTAATAACTAAACTTGAAGTCTAGATTGAGGAACAAATTGGCAAATCCCATCCACTAACCATAAAATGCTAATAGCCATTCTGTAGTGCAATCAACCCCATGAAATTGAGGTACTCCACACCGAAAGCTACCTCAAGAATAGTTAGTTTAAACTGTCAAAGTTTTAATTATTCCGAAATCAACATCTACCTTAGGCAAAGATGCATCTGCTGATCCTGCCGGCTGATCCAGACCTGGTGGTGCAGATCTGAGTTCAGAGATTGAAGAAGGCCCAACTGAACCACTTGACTTATCTGCATTGCGTTCATTTGATACATCAACAACACCGGACATATTTTGGATAAGTTTTTCTGCAGGGCCCCAAGAGGACTTCTCCATGTTCTCTGTGATTCTCATCTGACCTAATTCTAGCTCACAAGTAGATTCACCCACAGAAGGAGATTCTAAGAAAAAAGGCCAAATTGAAGAAAGCTCTGCAGATGAAGGGCAGCCAGAGTAACAACTAATTGCTTGCCTCTTGTGTGTTGCAGCTGAAGTAGAGGTACCATGGTCCAACCAATCACAATTCTGACAAAGAGAGGTCCTCTCTTCAAAACACCTAACTGATGCAGGCTGGGAATTGCATCTGTCACATAACAGTGCTCTTGAATGGCGCCTTGACAGTGCATTAGCAGAATGGACATTTCTATCACATGATAAACATAAGCATGCAGCATCGGACCGGCAATATACCACGGACCTTTGATCTCCACAAAAATCACAAACGTAGCCCATGTTTCACTAATCAACTTTCCTAACCAAATCAAAACTACTCCAAACTTTACACAATTCTAACCAAACTATTTATCAACCACGGAAAGAAGCTATTTTGATGATAAACCACGTGTCTGTTCTTCAACCTTCAATAACTGTGGCAGAAAGAAAAAGGAAAGAAGATGGTGTTACAGACCTTCAAACATATTCAATAGGAATACAAAGGCAAGTCAGCTCATTTTAAAAGAATGGGATGACACCTAAACACTACAAGGGTTAGCAAGATGAACTTAGAATTGCCTCAGAATAGTAATATATGATATAGAAAAATGTTTAATTGTAGAATATTTAGTTCCCCACCTAACCATTCACATAACAAGCATGGTTTATGTAGGGAATACTCAGAAATAAAATATACAGTCAGCAAAAGTTAAAAGTCTGAAGCTCCAAGAAGAAAACAGAAATTATAAACAAAACAAAAACTAGAAGAGAAAAAGTTTCATCAAAATTTAGACTGTGATCCGTGAGAAGAACAACCACAAATAGAAAGACAACAGGAATAAGATACAGAACACTCTGCAGAAAGAATACTTTTTCCTTGAAAACACAACAGAACAGGACGATGCAGTCAAACAACATAATTATTACCAAATAAATAACATTTCCACCTGAACAAAGGAATCATACCATGAAAACAAACAACTTACAATCACAAGAATCACACAGTTAAGAAATTCATACATAACTCCATCGAACAAACAGATTAAACCCAACCCAGTATAGATACATACCCACTTAAGCAGGAACCCAGGATAAATACTATCAATATGCAGCTATCCCAAACACACCAGAAAAAGAAAACCCAAATCCAAACCCCCCAAGAAAAATAAAAAAAATAAAAAAAAAAGGGAAAAAGATGAGAAAAAAGGAATTATCGTGGAAAAATAAAAAAGGGACAAGATCTGTAGCTGGGTTTAATATAAAATTCAAAAAGGATGTGAAATTTACGAGGAGAAACCCTAGAAGGAGGGAGCTTTCCAGAATCTGTCTTCCTCTGTTGTGTGTATCTAAGATAGAAATTGGGTGGGTGTGTGTTGTGTGTATAGGAAATGTGACATAAGCTGATAAAAAGTGCAGACAGATGGAAAATAAAATAATAAGAAAATGGGAAAAAAATAAAAATAAAAGTAGAAGAAAAGAGTGGGGGAAAGTGGGGCCCTGTCGTTTTCATAGGTTTCTGGCCCTAAGGGCTAAGTAAGTCTATTGTTTTAGTCTAGTAACTATTAAGTTATTTTCAACTTACTTTAGGAAGTTTATTTTATCTCAAGTGATCTAAAAACTTTAACAAGCTTATTTACTATGTGAATGTGAGCTCTTATTTGGCACCTTGTAAATGTTAAGTGACTCAAAAAATTATCAAAATATTAGAAGATACATTATCAATTACCCAAAGGAGAGAAAAATTAAGAGACTTGAAATTGATTACTAGTTAAAAGTAATATCATAGATGAGATGAGAATGATTATGAGTTAAAATTAAACATATTAAAGTGCTCATAGCTCCTGCACCCAGTGAGTTTAGAAGCAATTGTCCTAAGTCTAACTAGTCCTATTCTAGAGCTTTAAATGACTTGGAAGCGCTAGAAAAATGCTTAATTGACCAGGGAAAAGTGCTAGTTTAACTTATTAAAAAGATTTTTTGCTTTTTAATAAAATCTTAAAAGGTCTTTTTTTCTCCTTTGCTTGGCTTTCAAAAGGGCCTAGTGCACACCAAATTACATTCTCAAACCCTAGGGAGCACATCTAATACTCTTAAATTAGGTGCTTACTAATATAAAGACCTTGATTGCAAGTGTTATTACTTCTTATTTGTAATTTTGTATGCTAATAAATAGAAAATGTTTATTGAAATAAGGGTAAGGTTTTAATTAAAGGTTTTTTTTTTTTTAAATAATGCAATTGGGATTGTGTAAGTTAAATTAAGCAGTTCGAGGTCTTAATTAGAAAAAAAAGTAACCGAGCGCTTGATTTGGAAAAATATTAAATGTTTAAGGACTAGAAGTGGGAATGTTAGGCCCTTTAGGTTGATTACAGCTTTCCTTTGCTCAGCACGCTGCACTGCCAGTGTTTGAAAAGTGCCTTCAGTTTAGAGTAAAAAAATAAAAAGTGCTTTTGAGACACGCTGACATGGACGAATGGCAAGCAGCCTATTTGGCATTGGTTGTTCCACGTGTATTTTAAACTATAATAGTGTTTTTTACTCTTTTCACGTATTTTAAATTTTTTTAACGACATAAATAATTTAATAATAATTTTTTTATTATAAATAAAAAATTTTAAATTTAAATTATATAACATGCGGGTAAAATGAAAAAAAGTTACCATTCATTATGCAATAAATATAAAAAAATATTTTTTTAAAATAATTTTAAAATCATATTTATCAACATTTAAAGGTATTAAATATTAATTTCATATTTATATTTTCTATCTAATTTATAAAATAATACTCATTTATTAATAAACTTAACCTTTAAATTTCTTGAACGTGTGTTTTGGAAGTGCTCTTCTGGCCCATAGAAGAGGAACAACTTTTGAAAATTGTCAATTTGGTACAGAGAACAATAAATAAATGAGGAGAGAAGAAAGCTTGTGTCGTGAATTTGCCAATTGCCATTTAGAACCTGAAAGTAAAAGCAAAGAAATTCTCTACTCCAATTTATGATTATTTATTGCTTTTATATGAAATAATTGTCGCCTTACCTACAATCTTAGCTGCACTGATAAGGGTGTTAAAACGGAAGTAAGAAGACGCAATCCAACAATACATAGATGGTCTCAAATATAATTTAAAAAAAGTTTCTGCATCCATGGTGAAGTAAATTATTAAATACCATTTCATAAAAGATGTGTTTATAATTAAGATTTTAAATATTCATATTAAAAATTTTTAATTTAAAGCTCAAAATAGATAAAAAAATTTTTGAAAAAAGATTGTAATTAAAAATATGTATAACATCTCATAATATTATTTTATAAGATGAATTATATATAATTTACTTTATAAAATTATTTAAATATCTTTAAAAAATAATATAAAATAAATTTTAAAGATATTTAAATAATTTTCTATGATAAACTATATAAAATATATTCTATAAAATAATTTTTGATAACATATTATCCAACGTACTAAAAAAAAGGTAAATACTATTAAACACCAGCCAAATTAGAGGATTCAACAGTTCGTTTCATCGACATGTAGGCTTTTTTTTTTTTTTTGGTAGGATAGACATGTAGCTTTAACATAATGTGAATATATACATAACCTGTTTGTAATCAATGTATAGTTTGACTATTGAAAAGAAGCAAATCACGGCATATGATTGTGGTCATCCCCAGGAGTGGAACCACAGAGGGCTTGGGATTTTTCCACCCTTGCTTTGCTATGGCTAAAAAGGCCGAATGCCTTATCCTTTAAACAAAACAACAAAAAAAAGGGAAAGAAGTTGAATAAGGAAGCTGAATTTGTTAAATTGATCCATTGGATTTAATGGCAATCCTTGTGTGGCTAAATGGTAGCTACGCTGTCTATTAAACAACAAGAGAAATGTACTTAACTCCAAAGTTCGATCCTTCCTAACAGCAGCAACAGATATTAATACTTAATTTAACAATTTCTTCCTATCAAAAAAAAAAAAAATCCATTAGATTTAGTGATTCATCCTCAAGTTAAAGTATTTAGGTTCCATTAGTTCGGAATTCTATTCTTTTTAAAGTTTCTTATCAATGACTCGAAAAAATTCCCTTCATTCTCCTAATTTCTCCATGTACAAAAAAGAGGAAGAAGAAGCTGAATTTGTTGTGAGATTAGTGTTTATAAGCACATCTTTTAAAAAATTACAGAAAAAATATTAAAATTATGTCATATCAGTAAAACATTCATATAAAAAAATTAAAATATTCTCATTTTTATTTAAAATATGTTATTTTAGTTTTTTTCAATGGAGTTTATTAAAATGATATAGTTTTAAAATTTTCTTCCTTTTAATTTTTTAAATATTTTACTGACAAATACTTTTCTCATTTGTTTTTATATGTATATATTTATTATTTATCCCAATTTTACTATTGTAGACTAGTACTAATTATAAGTTAAGCTCAGAAAATTATTTATTAGGTGTTTAACCTCAATACTTAAATGAATTTTAAGGTTACATATCCAAAAAAAAAAGAAAAGAAAAGAAAAGAAAAGAAAAGAAAAGGTAGTTCTCGTGGTTTATACAATTGTTTAATGTCTAGTAGTTTTATTTTTGAAAACTAACATGTGGTAAGTAAAACTGTTGGGTTTTTTTTTTTTTTTTTTGTACAAAGAGAATTAGGAGTAAGGGAAAGGAGAAATTGAAATAAAGGAATTCAAACCTCAATGATATGAGCAAAAAACTTACATAGTGGTCACGCGAGTCACACACTAAGATTATAGTAAAATTGTTAGTTTTGTGACATAAGAGTTTTGTCTCTTCTAATTTCCTTCCCTAAAATAATTTAAGACAAGTGACCAATTTAATTATGTGAATTTGTCTTCAAACTTAGGTTATGAAAATATATTATTTTGTTATACTTTAGCTTAAAGTTAAAACTATAACATTTCAAATCTCAATGTAAATTTGTTTTCAAACTCAAGTTATGATAATATTTTATTTTGCCATATTTGAGCTCAACTTCAAAATTATAACATTTCAAATCTCAATTCCCTATAGTCAAAAGAAAAAACCTCAATTCCATTGTGATTAAAGTATATATATATACTTTTCCACTATACAAGAACACTTTATCATACAAATTATATCATTTTAACCATTTAAGGTTTTGTTTAGCTTCTATCAGTTTCTTGGAAAGGAAAAACGAAACATGGCAATGAACGGAACAACATAGGCCCTACTCAATGGTAGGATCTGGTTCCACCCTTGGTCATTCCTTACGTAAATAATCTTATGTTTTTTCCTCTGATAAATTACCTCACCATGTTTTTGTGTTAAAGAAAGCATGGATGTATAGTTTTCTTAAAATTTATTTAAAATTTATTTTAAAAATTAATTTTTAAAATTTTCTGTTAAAATTTTTAAAATTTTTTTAAGTAATTTTTTTTAGAATTTTACCAAACACTTTTTGTATCACAATTTTTACTTAGCATGGCAAAGTCTCTTCCCCTCTACAATATACTCCTTCCATCTCATAATTATAGGATCATCGTTAGTTTTTAATCATCAAATGTAAATAACAATTATTGGTAATGAGGTATTGATTATCAGCAACTAACTAAGGCTTTATTTGCTAGTATTATCCTATATTACTTGTGGTTATAGTTAACATTTTTTTTACTATTTAAAAAATATATAAAATATTTATTAAAAATAATAAAAATATATAAAGTAATTAAAAATACTTCTTTAAAAAAATTTATAAAAAGCCATGTAAAACAAACTCAAAGTATCTTATTTCCTTTATCTCAAAACAGTTGTCATTTTTTGATTTTTTTTAATTAAGAATTGAAGGATAATAATTATATTTATTTATAATACTTTTTAAAAAAAAAATTTTTTTGATTAGATAATTAATTAAAATAAATAAATAATAATAAGATTAAATAAAAAATATTTATTTATTTAAAAAAATAAAAAATAATAATTAATTTAAAATAATTTAAAAATTAAAAAATAACAATTATTTTAAAATGTAAAAAAGTAAATAACCATCCCAAAAGTAACCAACGCGCAGAAAACCCAAAACACGTGGCTCCTTAATTTCCCTCTTTCAAATTTGAGCAAATCACGTCTGCTTGGGCCAGCATTTTGAAAAAATTAAATTCTTTTTTTGTTTATTTAAGGAAGAATAAATAAATAAATAGAAGAAAATAAGAGAAGCCTACGCATGGGTCATGACTGTTCATTCAGATAAGGTATTTGTACGAACAAAGAGCAAGTTGCTGGGAGAAAAAAAGAGCAAGTTGCTAGGGAAAAGAAAAAGACACGTGAAACTCTACCCCACAAAAAGTGCTTTGCTTTTTGCCTTTTTCCTCTTGCCATTACCCAATCTACCCTCCTCCCTTGCCACGTCGCCCTCTTTCTCCTTCAAAAAAACCTCCGACCTTATCATATTCTGACGTAGGTTAATGTCAAATTTAGCACCTACACTCTGTCTAAATATTCAACATAGTCCTCGCCCTATTTTAGATGGCTAGGGTATTACTTTTTTGGTTTTTATATATCTTAAAATATATTATTTTGGTTAATAATATAAATAATTTAATATTTTTTTGTAAAAATAAAAAAAATTAAATTTAAATCACATAAATATGTGTTGGATAAGATTAAAAATATAAAAGATAATTATTTTTTATTATATAATATAAGATAAAAAAAAAACTAATTCTTTTTTTAAATGGTTTTAAGAAAGAGAACATAGCTGGGCATTGGGTTAATGCTTTAGAAATTAAATTTTGTTAGGTGTTAACTCTAAAGTTTAAATTTTAGGTTTTGTTTGTTAGTTTTGTGTAGTATTATGTTATAAATTTTTTTTATCTTTTATTATTTTAAAAAAATATAATATATTAATTTAAATTAATAAAATTATATAAAAATTAATTAAATTATTAAAAATAATAAATTTATATTTTTATATAATGTGCTACATAAAGAAGATATGTGCCAAACTTGGGCGAACAAAACCTTGGACTTATGGTTAACAAAATAAGTTAACAACCTACCTGTTTACTAGACCCAACCTATTAGGGGCATTCCCCTTAGTTCAATTTTTTAAGGGTGTTTCTATTTTTATTTGTGAATTTCTTTATAATTTTTTGTTTATTTTTATATCTTAATATTATGTCTAAAAGATAGTAAAAGGTTTTTATATAATATTTTCTCAATAATAAATTTTCTAATAAAGGCAATCTCTAACCGAGGCAGTAAAGGTACTTTTGATGTATTGCCCTCCCTTTATTTGAGGCTATTTGGATCTTTCTACTTTATAAAATGATATTCTATTGAAGACAATACTCAAGTGAATAAAAATCACGAGATCTGGCATGCAACTCATTGTTAATTTCCTCAAGGAAAAAAGAAAATTTGAATTTGAATCATAAGTATATATAAATCTAAAATTGATAAAATTATAAAATGATAAAAAAGAGAAGTGCCTCTCCTCATACAACCCTATATATATAAAGACACAAGATGGATGTTAATGCTCTATTAAACATGAAGTAATGAATTTTTTCTTTGGTATACTAATATATTGTTTATAGATAATAACTTGTATCCTCTGAATATATATTTTTTTAATGGATCAACATCTAATGATGAACTTTTTTGTGTAATTATTTTCACAAAATAGAGCTAACACTTAAATGGTTAATAGTAATTTTTCTTTTAAGTAGAGTAAAAAATTTTAAGTTTGATTATAACCATGCAAATGGAGTGACTAAAGGAATGAAAAAAAAGGTTACTTTTCATTTGTGTAACCCAAAATAAAATAAAAAAAAATCACAAAGTAAAAGGTGAAAAGAACAATAATAAAATTAAATTACTATTAATCCTATTACGAACAAAATTTATTGTGGATGTTTCACCAGCCTTTATCATCTTTTACCTTCCACTTTCCCATGCAACTACACACCAAGTAATGGTGATTAACTCCCTACTTCCTCATGCAAGTAATGGTGATTAACATCCACTTTCTAATGCAATTACAACAATGATAAAGGCTTGTCTTATAAGCCCTCCAGTCGCCATTAAAGGTGATTAGCCCTTGTAACCTCACTTAGTTAAGTGTTTAATCTTTTTAACTTTTACCACTCACTTAGCCTCTATATATATATTGTTGTCTCCAAAATCTCTCTTTTCACCGAATGACAAATAGGATTGTAAAGGCATGTAACTCATTTTGCTCAAAGTGAGAAAGGGGGATTCTAGTGAGCATGGAACTCAGTTGTGAGTCGACGAAAGAGCATTGATTAAATAAATTATGAGATATGCCCTGATTAGACGATTGTTACAAAAATAAGGGTGCATCCATGCATAAAGGTCTATAAATAATTGTCCTAGAATAACATCGGGAACTTTTCACAACTAGGACTAAAATGTTAGTTTGCTAATCAAAATAAAAGAGAAAAATAAAGGAAAATGAAAGAAAGATAGTGCATGGTAGGAAAACTGAATTGTAGGAAAGAAGCATGTGTAGCCAAGGAAGCATAAAGCTAAACTTAAAGGAAGTTTGGAAGATGAATTTAGAGTAAAGTGTAGTAAATTGAATTGTAGGAAATCACAAATATCAGTGGAGATGTAAAACTTAAAGTTAAAGTTAGTGACAACATAGAGTTAAGGACTAAACTAGGAAATTAATTTGAGAAAACTAGATCTAATCTAAGACATTTCTTGTGAAAATTGAAACATAAATAGTGTTGGGTAAGTTGTGTGTGAGGCAAGTCTTCTTTGCTTGATCTCATCATTGAGTTTTTATAGCACCTTGGCAACATAGGGGAGTTTTGTTGGCAGCATCTTGGAAATGTTGGCAACATCTTGGAAACTAATGGTAGTGTGAAATCTGCAACAAATTGATTAACTTGTTGGTACTACAGATCATGCTCTTGGAAGTATGCAACCATTGAACTGCATTATCAATGATGTGGCAACAAACATTTATGTTGATTCTGGAGAAAAATCAATCATTGAGTTTGACTTGATTAATGAGATCACTACATTGTAGTTGCTAGTAGTGCATTTTGATTCCAAATTCAAAACAAATGGGACATGTGACTCCTTCTAATTAATTTGCAAAAGGAGAATGATGTGTGCACACTCGGATTCAACACCCAAGTGTGCACACTCCGCATAAAAAAAAAATGCCCATCACTCGGTCCATTTTTTTTTTTTTATGTGGGGGATGCACACCCGGGTGTTGGATCCGGGTGTTGGATCCGGGTGTGTACCAATCATTGTCCTTTGCAAAAATATATGTAAATATATATATATATATACACATAGATATATATATATATATATGTGGCGCTTGTAATTTTATATAGAGTATGGAAAATAGTGAAGAAAAAAAAAGAAATATTATATTTCTTTTCATTTCCTCTCTATATCTCTTTGATTCCTTCTACCTATTCTACTTGTTTCTCTCCTATTTTGCAACAAATTCTTTTTTTTTTATTATTTAATAACTTAATCAGTTCAGTGGTAATCTCTTTATAGTAAAAGTAACAGGTAATAAGTTTAAGTTACCTGATTTGCAACTGAAATAAATTAAGAGATGAGATAAGATTGTCTCTTATTGTGTAATTTAAGATAAAAAATTAATTTTTTTTTACATAAAAAAGTTTAAATCTCAATGCTTGCATTACAAAAATCAAGATCTTACCTTTAATAGAAACAAGCTTAATTAAACACTTCCTCGTTAACAACTCATATTAATGTTTTTCATTTCTTATACAAATAGTACCAGAAAAATATTCCCATACAATAGCAAATGCAATGAATAGTGCAGCCTTAACTATGCCAGCCTGACTTTCTCGAGGGCCTCTAATCTTTGAGCCACGTTAGTTGGACGAAGTGCTAGTTAGTAATCACTAATTCAATAGACAATTAGGTTTTTGCTTAAACTTGAAAAAAAAAAGTAAATTAATGATGATTTAGACAAATTTTTTTTTATCGTTAAACAGTTTTAGTCCATCAAATTTTTATTGTTATATTTTAGTAATTTCAAGGGAAGTTCATTTGGGTCATTTTGGAATTGAAAAATGGTTTTGAAAGTTTCACACAAAAGTCAAACTGTCATATTAAAAATTATATAATCACTTGAAAAGGAAATAATCGTAAGTCACCAGGCAGGTGAGAAAACAGCATGGAGCTTACATTGGTTGTTAGGAGTTAGGACTAGGAAGAAAAAGGGCTTTTATGAGAATCCACATAACCCCAAAAACCTGCTTTTCATTGCAAGCTGCATAATATGTGAGTGACAATACGAATGGAAAAGTCAAGCGCAATTATCATCATTGATTTCGTTCTTTCAATCAAAACAAAGAAAGAAAAATGGGGCTAATCATTATATTACATGTCATCAATGTCAATTTCACATTCATAACATTGGAGCAAGGAAAAAGGGAATAAGGGTTAATCATCACAATGTCACCATGATGTATCTCAGAGTCAGCACCGAGGTGGTGAAGTTGACTCATGAATTGTAAGGGTTTTGTGGGACAGGAACGGCTCATCCTCCAAAATTCTCAGACAGATCAAAAACCTCTTTTACAATAGATAAGTATCTCAATTAATAAATGTTTATAATTTAAATTAAAAATTTTAGATACAATTCTTAAATTAAATAAGGGTAAATTTGTCAAAAGAGAAGACCGCTTGCTCATGTTGTATAGTTTTCATCAAATGTATTAAAAAAATCAATAATAAAGCGGATAGATACCACTTTATAATTTCCCATTTCAAGGGAGGAAAGTCTTGAAGGGAAGATCATTTTACGAAGTTTTTAAACCTGAAAAAATACCAAAAATCTGACTCAAGTGCGGTCTGCTGCATGTTTCCAAGATAGTTTGCAAATGGCAAAACTGAAAGCTAAAATATAAACTTCAACACTGTACTAACATATGAACCATCTAAATAAAAGAAACTCCAATCTTACACATTCATCAAGATGCACTACACAGACATGGTCCATAGTTCATGAACATTCAGTGGTCCAGAAAAAGCCATGTCAAAAATGTTTGAAAGAAAGCCAAGATGTGGTCCCAAAAAACATTTATAAGTCAGAGGACAGTGATACATACAGTACGGTACTAATAGTGTTTCAATTCTTCCTAAAATAGTGCTCAGTAACAGAATATTTACAGCATTTATCAACTGTAAACATCTCTCACTACAGAGATATATACATATAAGCTATCGAGCTTTGAAAATGGCAAGAACGAATTGACTTTGCAGCATACAAAAGACAACAGAGTACCCAAACCAGCGACAGGCAAGGTCTAGCAAATTGTTGGTACTATTGTCTCTACCCTCGCCTAGGATGTTTTAAACTCGGTCACTTACTCAAAGCTTGCAGCACTTGGGAAACACATTGACAGAGCCTTAATATCCTTGAATATCCAACTCTTAGGCCATCCACTGCAGTTTTCATTACTGCCGAGAGTGGTTGACATAATGACGTTTCAGCCCCAGCAATGGAAGCCTGTAATCGAGAGGGCAGGACCTCTGTAGGATAAACCCCACTGTTTGCAAATCAAAGAGATCACACAAATAAATAAAAATAGTTAACACAGTAGAAGGCCATTAATTGTACTTTTATTGATGTATGATAATACAAACAATTGTCAATGACCTAAATAACGTAATGGTAATTTTCTTCTAATAGAAATAAGAGATCTTAAATTCAAGTCGCATGACATGCGAGTGAGGTGGATTAAAAGATGAGAGAGAGTTGCCACTCATTGTATAACCCAAGATCAAAATATATATATATAT